ATTTGCTTGGGGTTTTGCCTTGGCCTTAACTGCAGAATGAGTATGATGAGTATGAGCAGATTATGGTCTTAAACACATGAAGAGAGTGGGTGCGAAGAATAAACTGTAAATAAGAAAGTTCAGTCTTTCCGGAGGGTCAGAAAACTTTCTTTACACGTGGAAGGAAGAAGATTCCAACCTAAGACTGTACAGTATAGTAAATAATAGCTTCATACATATGCATGTGCATATATGTATATATATATAACATCAGTACCAATGTATATTAGTCAAAAATATACTATTTTGGCCATATATATACGCACACACTCTGGCACACCAGTGGAGCAAGGCACATACTGTTCCTGTTTACACGTCACAAAATATAAATACTGTATCAAAAATTCCTAAGTTAAATTCCCCAAGCTTGCTGAGCGTCCACAAAATATTTTCCACTTCACTTTGTGAAAATTAAGGATAAAGAGAAAATCTGAAGTTCTCTACCCCCCATTTTTGATATAACACCTTCCAGTCCCATTTCTGGACCTTCCGCCTGTCCTCATCCCCGTTAGCCGATTCCCTGACGTTCCCCAGCAGGAACTGTGAGATTCAGTGCAACCCGGAGCAGGGCCGGGATCGGCGCCGGCACAGCCAGAAGGCCGAGTCTGTCACGAGCAGACATGGACAGAATGAATTAGCATGTTCATTACAATCCCCACAAAAGTTAATCGCACTCGCAGACAACCAGCTTCATATATATATATATATTCATCAACGAACACTCATGTAGATAGCAATTAGGAGGATGCATTTTAAGAAATAAAAGCTACGGGGATTTTTTCCTTAAAACAACCCTGGCTCTTTTGCAGTGCAGAATCCTGCACAGAGCAGGTCAGAGCGGGTCCCGCTCGGGGGGCGGCTGCGAGACGAGCGCTGCCGGGACCGGGATCCGCGCGCTCCGCGTGCCCCGGCGCCCTTGGAGCTCCCGTTCCCTGCGCAGCCGAGCAGCAGCGTGCAATGTTGGCACCACAAAAACCTGAGCCCTTTCCACATCCTCCTGATCCCGGGGAAACCGCACAGCCACGGGGCACCGGGGAGCTGTGCACATCAACAGAACCACTAGTTGATTCAGTGTAATTTGAAATATTTGCAAAAGTGTGGAAATATTTTTATTTTATTCTCAGAATAAAATTCAGCACATGGAGTAAAATGCTGGCTAGCACTTCTCACTGGTGAAAACATCAAGTACATTTTTCTTGAATATTATTGCATATTCTCCTGCACCCAAGATTTATTTGCCAGTATCTACAGCTTTTGTTGGGGGGTGATTTCCCAAAGGAAACAGAATTTGCATCTTTTTAAGAATCAAACCTACAAAGTGTCAGGGCAGATAAAAGTCACAGTGACGCAGGATTAAAAAATGGTATATTTTCTCTCAACTTTTCCATAAATAGCCTTGGAAAGACCAGCCATTTTTGTTTTACCCCATTATGGGGAAACATCAATGCAAACTCCTAGAACAGATGAAGGAATCGCTATGGCTGGGAAGGAGGTACCAGGCACACGGTGCCTGTGGCCTGCAAAGGAGCGACACCGGGTCCAGGCTGGGCCCGAGCAGCTGCGGAGCTGGGAGCGGATGTGTCACTAAAATACACACGTGTATAATATATAAAAATACTTATATATAATAAACATATGTATATCTGGCATAGATGGCTAAAACCTGCAGAAGATGCGTCTATTCAGGATGTCTGATCAATGAATAGTGACACTAGTCACCTCTAAACTATAAATCTGTATTTTTTGGTGCCATGTTCCAGAAAATTCAATAAATCTGGAAGATTTTAGAGATAGGGAGAGAAATCAGTGTACTGATTGCTTTTAAATGGAGCAAGCTATTTTACTTTAAAAATGCCTAAACTGTGATCATTAATCAGTTGATTTATTGCTTAAAATTAGAGAGTCAAAGTTAATTATTAATTTTTGACAGGTCTCAAAGAATATATGCTCAAATTAAGTGAATTTCAGTTAAATGCCTGGATTTCTCTTAAATCAAAACAGAGCTTCTGTCATGTGGCTCCTATTCTATCCCCAGTGAAATCAGTGGCAACAGGAATAACCTCTGATTGGAAATTTAAATTATTTCTAACGTTTGTGCAAAGTTCTGGAACTCGTCACCCGGCGCTGCGAGGCCCGGGGTTTTTCCCTCGCACCAATCGGCCGGACGGTCCCGTCGGTGCCGCCGGCGCCGCGGCCGCGTGCGAAAGACCGGCCGCGCCGGGAGCCCCCAGCACCCGTGAGCGTGCTGAGGCTTTCAAATTCCACACATTTTTCTTCCACGGCTATCAAGGAAGCAGAAATAATCATCTACCAAGGAGAAAAGAGCAATGAGCACAGTGCGATGCCTAAACAAAACAGAGAGATGGGCCGCCCCGTCACAGCACAGCGTGTCAATCACCTTGTGTAACACAGCCATAAATCATCTGCCTTTGAGCTCCCGTTTGTCCTCAGGAAAGTTACCCTTATTTAACTTAGAGGTTTAAATAACGGAGACTCCTCCCTGCACAGAGAGAAATTGTTTCAGTGCTCAACCGCCTGGACCACTGAAAGGATAAATAAATAACAGCAGTAACGCAGATCGCTCCCCTCCATCCTGCCGGGCGCGCGGGCCTGGCTGCGGCCCCACGGCCCGGATTCGAAGGAACGCAAGCCCCGGCCCTGCAGACGCGGCCCTGCAGAGCAGCGGTTTCTCCCCCAGCTCTAACTCCGCTCAGGAACCTCCTCGGCCCCGACAGGACCATCCAGCCCGGTGCGAGCAGCCGGCGCGCTGGGGACGAGGAGCTCCCGACCTCCCCTGCTCCGAAGGAAAGGCGGAGACGAGCTGCTCGGACGGCACCTCCAGGCTGCAGCGTCTTGCTCAGTGCTATGGAAATGAGGCACAAGCTTCTGCTGGATCCAGGTCCTAAATCCACACTCCAAACAGGCCCCAAGCCACTGTTCACCACGGGCTGCCTTAGGGCTGCCTCCCCACGTAGGCCGCTTCCATGTGCCCATCTCCTCGCTTGCTCCCTCACGCCAAGCCGAATGTTGCTTCCCCGGGCGAGGAAAGGGCGGTTTCCGCTCGGCAGGGAGAGCGCCACAACTCCGGACTTCATTCCACAACTCCAGAGCTCATTCCACAACTCCGGAGCTCATTCCACAACTCCGGAGCCCATTCCACAACTCCGGAGCTCATTCCACAACTCTGGAGCTCATTCCACAACTCCAGAGCTCATTCCACAACTCCGGAGCCCATTCCACAACTCCGGAGCTCATTCCACAACTCTGGAGCTCATTCCACAACTCCAGAGCTCATTCCACAACTCCGGAGCCCATTCCACAACTCCAGAGCCCATTCCACAACTCCGGAGCCCATTCCACAACTCCAGAGCCCATTCCACAACTCCAGAGCCCGTTCCACAACTCCGGAGCCCATTCCACAACTCCAGAGCTCATTCCACAACTCCGGAGCTCATTCCACAACTCCGGAGCTCATTCCACAACTCCGGAGCTCATTCCTGCCGCCCCTCCAGGTCACTTCAGGTGTCAGGGGGCCCTTTCCCCACGGCCTGGCCCAGCGCAGGAGCTCCATGCCCAGCACAGCCTGCCCTGCTCTGGCGCGCAGGCAGGCCGGATGCGCAGCGCCATGAACATGGATTGCCGCCGTCACCATGCACACGGCAGGAACACGGATCACCGCCACCACCGCACGTGGGGCTCCAGGAACACGGATCACCGCCGTCCCCGCACGCGCGGCACCAGGAACACGGATCACCGCCGTCCCCGCACGCGTGGCGGCCACACAGCAGAGACGGGCACGGAGCGCCCCGGAGACGACGCGGGAACCGCAGGCCGGTTCCGCCGCATTCCCAACGCGACTCTCCAGTTCGGTTTCTCACAAGATGGCGAAGCCCAAGATACGCACAACCTATTTTGCATTGGCAAGCGAAATTAATTGTCATAATTCTGCAAGTCTCCAAGTCCTGCAGTCGCTATTTTTCAGACAACCTTTCCAGAGGGTTTTACACGAGTCTTTCCTTCTTCCCTAAGGACAAGGACTGGACTAAAAGCAGGCGCTACGCTGGGGAGCCAAGCGGAGCCCCAGCTGCGCGTCTAGCCTGTGCGCTAGGACTGCTCCCCACGGAGCGGAACGCTCCCGGCTCCAGCCGGCCCCCGCATCTGCCCTTCTGGCTTGCTGCAGGAACACCGGTGGCTTCATCACAAACAGTGCTGTTGAACCACGTGTGTTGAACCCTTTGAAGGGACTGGTTTTAAACTGAGCCAATTTCAAGGGCACAAAAGTTGTAATAATTGCAAAATGATTCAATTTTGAGCACAGCCAAGTCATTCACTTTTCCTGTAACCCTGGGATTGGAGAAACAAGTATTTTCTATTTTCTTCCCAGAGTGGAAGGTGAGACAATTCAAATGAGTGAATGTTTTTAAAGTTTCTGTTGCACAAAACAGTATTTATGCTGAAGCAACAGGGAGCTCTTGCTTGCTGAAGTATGGAACAGCAGCATGTTTCACTCTAGAACGTGTCTGTTTTCATATGTGTGGCTCTGCAGCAACCCGCAGCCTCCAAGGCCCACAGAATCCGCCTGTTTATGAAGGCAGAAATGGGCTGAGCTGCAGCATTGCCCATGGGAAACCCCACGGAGAAACCCCACGACCCCAGAGCGGAGCCTCAGCCACAGAGCCGGGGCTGCCGACGGGCGGCGAGCGCCTTGGGGCTCCGCGTCGGTGTCCACCGAACAAGCAGACAGACCTCGGCAAAAGACAAATACACACGAGTTCTTTAGGGAAGAAGCCACAGAGATCGATTTAACATGTGCCTAATTTTACATTTTAAAAATATTTTGCAGGGCGGAGCCTTGAAGCCCATTGAGTTACCTCAAGATTTTATAACAATTAAAAAGCAAAGCTTTTTGAAGGAGGCTTGCTGCTTAGAAAACAGCATTGCTATAAAAACACATTTGAGTTTTACACTCTTTGCTTAAGCAGCCGCACAGTTCGGATGCGAACCAGCTCCAAAGAGCCCAGCACAGTCAGAACTGCAAAATGACGTTAGCGGTTTGAGGCAGTCGGAGATGGCTGCAGCGACGCGGAGCGCTCCGAGCGCTGCGCCCTGCTCCCCGCGGCGTTCCCAAACGGGGAGGTTCGGCGCAGCGCGCTCACCGCGGCACAGGCAGCCCCGCGCGGCGCTGCATTAAGGATCCCATTAGAGCAACCTGAACACCTCACCCTTGTACAGAGCTTGTTTACATCCTGCAGTAATATAGCCCATGCCTCCTGATTAATATGCACAGAGGGCACAAACGATCTCCAGTTACCCCCTAATTAACTGCAGTTAACAGAGTGCTAACTACCCCTGTGCGGCTGCTGGAGGAAGTTACCATCTCACAACCCCCTGCAACAGGCTACAGGCAGACGCGCATTGAGCAATGCGAATCCATCACCCGGATTGCCAAGAGCGCAGGAACGGCCGTCCTGGAGCTCTTGGTGTCGGTGCAGACGGGCCGCGTTTCCTCGGCCCATCGCCGGGAAGGCCACGGCGGGACACGGCGCGATCCGGCCCCCGGGCAAAGGGCTCCGCGCTGGGGATATTCAATAACCGCGTGGGTCTCTGCTTTAGCAAAGCTGAAAATGTCATTTGTGCCAGATCAAAAGTGCTGGAAAAAGTCGGTTCTTTTTAGCGGTTTACAATTGGGTAAATAAGTATCTAAGTTCCTGTGCTACTGGTTATTCAGCAAGCGCAGGCACCAAATTCCTGATTTTCTGGGCCCAGAACAGGCCGTACCCTTCACAAATCACAGGTGCTAGGAACAACTTCATAAGGACGCGTAAATAACTGTGTAACTTGTAACTTGTGGCCTCACTATGGTGGCTGAAATACAGCAATTCTGCAAGTAAATAAATATCTAAGTGCATATTTTAGTACATGGACAGGTTGCTTTAAGGTAAATTAAGTTTTTCAAACCATGTCTTTGCTGAGAGACCAAACCTTAGAAATACCTTAAAAATACAACATTTTCCTTCCATCTGCTTCTACTGCAGCCATACGTGAAGCTTGTGGCATGGACTTCTGGAATCTAGGCAGCTTGTGCTACACAGGAATTCATATGCAAAGCTCCTCTCTATCCTTGCCTTTAATTAGGGAAAAAACAAAAGACCCAGCACCAAAGAGAAAGTGATCCCCACGCTACAGCAAACAATATCCAAAACAGGAAAACCCAGTAGAAAAGAGACAGTCAGTCTGGAATGCCACAGAATATTCAAAAAAGAAGAGAAATCAAAATCTCAAGCATTAGAAACTTAATTACCCAAGTGCTTCATTATCATGCTTTCATCTTAACTTTGTTAATTATCAAGTAAACTTGGCAGCAAACTCACTATGCTAAGATGAGGTACTTAAAATTACTGAAGTTCATTCAAGGAATAAAATTATCACTAATCTTACCCTTCAATAAATATGGCTCCCAACTATGTTGAGTCACAGCACAGCTCTCATCAGCATTACAAATTTCCAAGCAGTTTGCAGTAAGTATTGGTGATCAGGAGCATAAGGAATCTGTGAAAACTTGCTATAAATTACGAAAATCACTAATTCCAGGTAGGTGACATTAATTACACAAACGTGCCTTGCACTGTCAAATCTGCTTGGCTCCACAGGAAGAAGCCCACTCGCAACAACTGGATGACAATATATATATGAATGCTACCGACTTATCGAAATGTAGTCTAATAAACTCTCAGTACCTTCAAAATGGAAGGTAGCTATTTAGAGGCTCATCGATTAGAACGCTACTCACGTAAAACCACACACATTCATGAATTTGCACAGTGTCACAGTCCCCACCTGCCTGGGGCAGTAAGTAGATATTCGTCGCGTCTTCGGCCGTGCCGTTTTGGTTTAACACCTCAAACACACTGCTGTGCTGTGCCTGAAAAGGTAGAACAGGTCATTTGAGTCAGTAAAAAACGACTGGCACAACTTATGTTCAGACCAGACCAAGAAAAACACAATTATTAACCTCTCACATCTTCTGTAGAAGTAAGAGCGGAAAAGAGGACGGGACTTCCAAACATTAGGCAGAGTTTATGAGCAACATACACGCACTCAGTAGATGTTTCCTTACACTTGAAGCAGAAAAATCCAACCAGCCTCACAGCAAGCAGCCGCGCGGCCCCAGCAAGGCCCTCCTCGGCCCAGCGCCGCACACAACCGGAGTGAGACCCGGTGCTGGGGACGCCTGGGGCCAGCCGCACGCCACGGCCCCACAGCACCGTCCCGCGGCCGGGCCTCCAGGCCAGGCTCGTTGGAGCCCATCCATGTTCCCTGCCTCCCGCTCCGAGGGCTCTGGAGCATCTGCCCTGATCTAAACAGAGGGATTGAGTAAGACGAGCTTTCTGCAGGACACTTACCGTTCCAAAGCTTGCTTCC